GGGGGGGGGGGGGCAAGAAGGAAGAGTAAAGAAAAAAATAAAGAAGAAAACGAGAAAAAACCAGAAGAATTAATAATAACCGCGTCGTTCGAGATACGCATCTGGTCTGGTCGCTCGGCCAGGTGCAACGTCGTCGTCTTCCGTGATCCGTGCATATTCCGGGGGCCCGGCTCCTCCACGGCGTCCTTTTACGCCGGTCACGGCAATTAAGAGGCATCGCCGTTAAAATCGCCCTCGTCGCGCGCGCGAATATTACGAGCCACCGCGTATATGAGAACGCCACCACCGCCGCCGCCGCCGCCGCCGCCACGCGGAATTTCAATTCGCCCGGAAACCTGTTCGGCCCGCGGCACGACGGGGCCCCTCTCGCGTTTTCACTTTCGCCGTATGAGTACCGGCGTAAGTACTAATGATCGGGGTTAGAACGCTGCAGGGTAAGACTGTGAGAATGAGGGAGGAAGAGAGAAGGGGAGAGGTATCCTCTCTATATAGGTACAATTATGTTTGCGTCAAGTGTGCCCTAATCTTGCAGCTATTTCGGAAATGCAATCCCGAATCTGTCCGGTAACTCGCTGGATAAATTACGATACTTTTGGGAGGTTGGTAAAGTAGTAACATAGAAAAAGAAAAAATGATAGAAATTACAAAATTTCGATGAAGCTCAAAAGGAGCATTCAGCCTTAAAAATGAGGAAAACCGTTTGATTCTACTCACATCTTCCGTGAATTATTTTGACGTTATATAGTATACAATATATAGTATAAAAAAAGAAGAAACATGCCGAAAGTAAATATTCCCCGTCTTATTTCGGACACGCGCTCGGAATGATCGGGATGTAATCGCGAAGAACGATACAACAGATGATAATTTATCAATTTAACCGCGCCGGACTGTTCCCGCGAACGTGGAGATTATCCGATGTGCAATGTACAAATACTCGAGGCTGTGCATCACCTCCGATATCAGAGAGGGATAACCCGGGGAAATAATGTCGCGGCATACGGTGAAGAAATCCGTGGTTCTTCCGATCGAACGATAATAACATTGTTCCGATGTATAAACACGCGTTCTACATTGTGCCGGAACGTATAATGAATTCGTACGTGCCGGGCAAGGAGAGCGCGCACACTCTCGATACAATCGCCGTAATAATACGTCGGGGAGCGTATCGCGAACGACATTAAGTATGATTTTCGACGGTCGTTCGTCGCTTCTCCGGCGGGGGAAGTCGCTCGTGAGTGCGAAAGCACGGCTTTCTCTCTTCCTCGGTCCCCTCGCGGGCAGCTGGGCCCGCAAAATCGCGAGTCGCGTCTTCTCGGCCGGCTAGCCGCTCCGGCGATTTTACGATCGCGTCAAAGCGGAACACCGCGAGAAAGTGTCGGCGCACGAGCGGGCCCGCAGCGTTCAACCGAGCGACGGCACGGGGAGGGCGCGTGCGACAATTATTGCACGTCAGCGTGCCTTCATTTCGGGATAATTAAGCGGAGCCCTTTTACACCTGCGGATCGCGCGTACACCACGCGTATCCATGAAATCCGCCGTCCACCCGTGACCGGACACGGGGTCCGATCCGGGCTCCCGATAAGGGATCGATAAGCGGAGTAACCGCCTCCACTTCTTCTCGACCCGGCGCGGAAAAAGTACGGCGGGAAAAAACGGCCGACGTCACGACGGAGTATTATGCAACGCGGCGAATCTGTAATTAAGATTTTCGCCGCCGCCCCCTCCCCTCGCTCCCCTGCCTCCGCACAAGGCGCACGCTCGCGCCTGTTATTAATTATTAATGAAGGGAATACGCGCGGTCATCGTCGTATTTCCAAACAAAAGGAATTTGACACGCGTAAGACGGCCGGGGCGATCCGGGCCTTCGGCGAGTGCGCGAATCTTATCCGCCGGAATCGCGACGAGATGTGCGAGAGATTGAGCGGCGAGTAATGAAATTCGCCCGCTCAGTGCACTTTTTTAACACCACTTGCCGACCGATCGCCAGGAGAAATTCGCGGAGCGAAACGCCGTCGGCCGATCCGTGAGATGTCTGTCGTGACGTTCATTGATTTGTTGATGACGGTCGAGGAAAAAAGTAGCTGGGACGATGAAGGTTGGCTGTGGTGTTGAAAACGGTCGGTCGACGGAGTGTTGAACTTATGTGAAATATAACCGATGGGAAACGTTCGTTGATGCTAAAATAGCTGAAAGTGGCGAAAACACGGTGAACAATATCGCGTTGATAAGAATGATCGAACTTGCGAGGCGGCGCGACTTTCCCAACGAAACACGCTAACATTCATTTCGACATGATTTTACCCGGGCGAGATTGATCGAATTAGGAAGCGATAAATTTTCTCGCGCAGAGACGACTCGCGCCCGGACGCGACGAGATTCGCGACGACGCGCCTCGTTTATAGCCTTAATGCGGCTGTTAATGGAAAGTCGCTGCCTCGTCTGCTCGTCGGCCTCGTTATAGCGAGGGGGCGAAAGAATCATTAAGCGGCGAGATTTCGTCGCGAATACTCAGACTTCGCTTCGCGCCTACGCTTCTTCGGGGTCTTCGCCGACGATAATCGCATTTTCGCCGATCGTGCGTTACTTAAGAACGCAAATTACATTGCACCCCCGAAGCATCCGATCGGTAATTCGGATCGAGACTGCGGGCGTTACGTTATGAGGTCTAAAGGTGCCTTCACTACCATAGATTATCTCGCGTTATCGTCTCGTTTTAACATCGATTACAATCTCAATCATTTTCCGAGAAAAATTCTCAAATTCTTCGAGCGCCAGGTGATAATATCAAAATACCCGCAAAACTGTCTAACCTTTTGCAGATAGTAATCATTAGGCTGCACGCTACTATCTTTTTTTTCAAAAATACAAATAATCTTTAGGCATAATATAAAATTCATTATATTGTTTCATAATTTTGATTAGCAAAAGTTTTGTTCTTAAGGAGATAAATATTTAAAAGTTCGCATTTCGATTATTATCATAAAATCATATTAGAACTTCAAAATTGTCAAATGTAATTAAATGTAATTGTTGAATGGTCCCTTAGGTAATTTTTCCGGTTTATTTCATTGCCAGATTTATTTCATAGGGTGATGAGAAGCGACTTTAAGGCTACTTATAAAATCCGCCCAGTGAAACGAACGATGTCGCGCATTCGTTATAAAGACAACGAGCCGTTTAAAGATTAGCCGCGTTAGCGTGAATCAGACATCGTGTTCGTATACGACGTGCACGTATAATCCCGCCGTCAAATCAGTCCGAATCACGATACCGACTAATTACTTGGGTAATTGGCGACTCGTTGAGCGTGCGCGATATCTCGCTTATGAAAGTGCATGCGAGATAAGCGCGTGCTAACGGCGCGCGTGTGGACGCAGCTGCACGAACCAGAGCCCTCTCATGCATCGAGAGTGCTCCTCCTCTCATCGGGACGGCGTCCCTCGAGGCTCGTAGGAAGATATACACACTTTGAGCAAACATATCGGAAGGAGAGATACTACCGGGCGGGACCGGGCGCATCGTTTTGCTTTCGCTCTACCGGGGCGAGATGCCGCCGTTGCTCTTTGCGCGAGTTCCGGGGAGAAGACGAGGGAAAATGAGACGCTTTTCATCCTTTCGCGATGATAAGAAAAAAAGAAAAAAAACGAACGCATATAGATTTCGACACGCTATTGTGAGAAATCATTATTTTCGAATAGATTCGCGGAGGAAAAGTTTGCTTGAATTTACCAGACAGTGAACGAACCGAATACGTTTTAGTTGAAGGAAACGGAATTTCTGGTTCTTATATTCTAAATTCTTCTAACCAGAAGCACCGTTGAATCACAGTTTCTCGGAAAATCGTTTGATATCTCAAAATGACTGTTGTATAGATAATTGAACGGGATGATTAGAAGCGGAGATAAAGGGAGAAGAAAAGAAAAATCTTGTTACACACTCATGTGGAGTGTCTGAATATGCAAATAAAAGCGCGATAAGGGCGATAAACTTTTGCCAACAGTGCGATAACCGAAAACACGAGCGGAAGTGAACCGAAAACATCGGCGGAGCTGGAGCGACTAAGGCGGCCGGCAGACTCACGCTTGATAAAAAGAGAGAGATTAGCGGGAGAGCCGGCTGTGTGCATCGGCGGCGCAACAAGTGCACGCAGGATGCACCTCGG